ACGGAAACAAGAATGAGAACTGAGAGACAAACGACTGAAGACTGAAGAGTGAAGAGGGAATTAGGAAAATAAATAACCCTAGTATATACTTAAGGGTAAATTAGTAAATTACATCATTCTTATTGGGTTATCGGTTTTTACCCAATAACAAAAATGCAAACCGAGCCCGAATCGATAACCCAATAAAAAAAAATTTAACCCGTTACCGAACCGTTAACCCAATAACCCAATACCGATAACTCAATAAAGAATTAAAGGTTCGAGTTATCGGTTTTACCCGATATATGCCCACCCCTACATACACTAGGGCTGAGTATTCGCATAATTCGAATTGAATATAAAAATAATAATAAAATTTAATTTTCAGATTCATAAAAATAATAATTTAAAATACAATCCAAATATATTCTAATCGAATCAATCTTTTTAAATTCAATTATGAATTGATTGATTTGATTATTCGAATTTTCAATTTTAAGTGTATAGGTTAGTTTCACCTCCTTCTTACAAATTCGTATGGATAGTAAATAATGAGAAAATCTTGCTTGTCACAAACCACGACAGATTACTTGATTTTTTGGCCAAATCTTAATAGATTGCCACAATTTTTACCATAAATCCTAACAAAGTGCCAAAATTAGAGGTTATGTCCAACGTAAGCCTTTTTTGTGCTATCGGTGCCATCCAATTGGATGGGATCGAGATCTTCTATAGTTGTCTTGCAAGCTTCTATGACGTCCAGGTCTTCCTCTACTTGTGTGTCGGGTTTGGTTCCCGACATGGCTGATTGCTATGCTTCCGCACTTGCCCCTTTTAGTTGTTTGGTGTGTGTGCAATCTTGGGCGATCCGATAGCATTCTTGGGTGGTACATGGCTTGCCTCGGATGCCGAATATCCCCCATGGGGTGGGAAATTTGATCACTTGATAGAAGCTTGAAGGGACGGCTCGCATGGTGTGTATCCACGGTCGTCCTATGATGGCATTGTATGCCATTTCCTGGTTCATGATGTGGAATGTCATTTCCAGGGTAACCCCTCATGCCAGGACAGGTAGTACTATTTCTCCAGATATCCGCTCTACTGCATTATTAAAACTAGTTAGTGTTATGCAACGTGCTATTATTTTATCCTCGATCCTCATTTGCATGAGAACTCATGGGTGAATAATACACGCGTTGCTTCCCTCATCCACCATTATTCTTTTTACATCGGTATTCGCGATGCATAAAGTTATAACCAAAGCATCATAGTAAGGGAAAGACAAACCGTCGGTATCTGAGTAGTTTTTTGGTTACCTTTGATCCGTTCCTGTTTAACCCATTTTGAAAGGCTGCTACTGTCATCCTTTCTGACATGTTCGGTAGGCTCTTCCTTATTCTGTTGAATCGTGCTACGAAATCCCGAAGTCCCTCGCCCGTCTTTTTGTCTGATGGCGAAGATATCATTAACCTTAGCTTCGGCCTTCTTCACTCCCGCGTGAGCGGTAGCGAATTTATCCGCTATCTCCTCGAACGTCGATATCGATCGTGCTGGTAGTTGGGAATACCATGTCAATGCTCCCCCCGTGAGAGTTTCACCGAACTTTTTCAGCAGTACAGATGGTACTTGTTCTTTTGATAGATCATTACCCTTCACTACGGTAACGTAATTGATTAAGTGGTCCTCCGGGTCTGTGGTCCCGTCATATATTTTCAAGTATGGCGGCATTTTGAAGGTTTTCATAATAGAATGGGGAGCTTCCTCTTTGTTGTACGACTGTTCGACGAATCGGCCCATATCGCATTTTCGTAATAGCTTTGGAGCGCTTGGTATCTTATCGACCCTTTCCTGATGTTCCTTCATCTGGTCGCGGAGTGTTTTGCTCTTATTTTTCATCTCTTCCATTTTCTTTAAGATGGCCATAAGTGCGTCGTCAGATGCATCAGCAACAGTGCGGGTATTACCTATTCGTGTAGCATTTGGCTCATCGGCAGCAGTTGTGATTTCTGTGGGTGGCGCATTTTCGACGCCTCCCTGAATGGGTTTCTCAAGCATGTTGCTCAAGGCACTCGTTAACCATTCTTCCAGTAGCCTTTTGACTACTGGTGGCGCTTCTCCTGCTATGGAGGTTGAGGTTCCCCTCTCGCGCAGGATCGTTAGATCCCCGTGAGGAGGAGGTGAGATCTCCCCCTCCGGTGTAACACTTGTTGTTGCATTCTCATTATCTTCTCCGCTGGCTTCGTTGAGGTAATTCAGGAGGTTGTTCGTGACATCCACTACTGCCTTTAGCCTCGTTTCTCCCTTTCCCGCCATCGCTGATTTTTATGAAGCTGAGGAAAAATTGATTATTGCTTTCAAGAATCTAGATGGAAATTATGATTTCAACTATAGAAATCCCCACAGATGGCGCCAAATTGTTTGACTCAAAAGATATTAAAACCTTTTGAACAAATCAATCAAAGATGAAGGGGTAAATCTTAGCTGAGTATAATAAACTCTAGAAGAAGTAATAGGTAGAGAGATGATCGTCAATAAGTTTCTTTTCGTTCTCAAATAGTGATTTTCCCATAGTTTTCTCTCTCTTACATGGTTATTGTCCCCCCCCCCTTTTATAACAGGGAGAAACTCTTCTAAATTGTAAGAAACAAAATACAAGGAATATTCGACGGAATATTCCTAATGTTCCCTAATGGGCTTACACTATTACAAGGGTCGTACGGTCTATTCTTTTGCCCTAAGGTCGTCTCCCTCGGGACATCGACTCGAAGATATCCGGTCGTTTGTCGTACTTCGTCGCAGGTCGTGGTTGGTCAAATTTAGACCCATACAAATATGTAAATAAATTATTACCAAGTTCTGCTTTAAAATTAGGCTAAATCAACTACAACTTTGATCTATAACCTTTAGTACTAATCCCAACAAATTTTAATGGTTAAATTCAACTTAAACCTCAAAAATCAATAAACCCATTTTAACTTTTTTAAGTTCAACAAAACTCACAATGATGTTCTTTAATTTTCTCAAATCAAACTAATTCAAATTATTAAGGATAGGTGATATAAGTTTAATGGAATATTATCCACTCAATTTTAACTGTAAATAAGCAAATAAGCCTTCGATTTTCTGCAGCATATACCTTATTATTTTATAGTTATAGTTGTGTGCTCACAATTAATTAAAAAAGGAGGAGGAAGGAGGAGAAGAAGAAGAACGGAGAACGGAAATGAAATTTCAATTTTCTAACTTTCGTTAAGTCAAGCCGAAATGACCTACGGGCATCCAAATCAATATCCGGACACGCTCCTAAGACCAAAATCACCATACGGAGTTATTGGAACAGTCAAAACTTTATTCTAGAGTCGTCTACATAATAATCAAACTACGGTCAACTCTTTCAACTTAAACTTCCAACTTAGAGACTATGTATCCCATGTCATTCTGAAACTCCCCCAAAACCAAAACCAAAACCAAATACCCCGATGAGTCACATAACCACATATAACATATAGAAGGTAATAAATAGGGGAACAACGTTAAATACTCAAAATGACCGACTGAATCGTTATGACAACTTATTTGGCATTGTTCCCAGTAATTAGGATATCGTCAACATAAATTGCAAGTAAGTGGCCAATTCACCTGAGATCTTAAAAAAGAGGGAATAGTCATTAAGGGATGACTTGAAACCCTTGTACCTAAAGCAGTAGATAAACGAGCGTACCATTAGTGAGATACTTGTTTAAGATCATACAACAACTTGTGTAGTCTACAAACAAGAGAAGTAGAAGTAGGAGTTAAACCTGAAGGAAAACACACGTAAAATTCTTCATATAAATCTCCATGTAAGAAGGCATTGTTACATTCAGCTGGTACAATTTCCAATTTCTTTCACTACAATGATAAGAATACATCAAACTATTGTTAGTTTTACTACTAGCAAGAACGTTTCTGTATAATAAAAACCTTCCTTTTGTGTAACCCCTCTTATAACAAAACGTGCCTTTAATCTTTCTAAGGATCCATCTTACTTTAACTTCATTTTATATATCCATTTGTAGGGCAAAGACTTCTTTCCTTCAGGCAAAGTAACAATGTCCCAAGTGTGATTGGATTCCAGTGCCTCAAATTCTCTTTCCATAGTAAGTTGGCAACCTGAATCCTTGCCTACCTGATGGTAAGAAGTAGGTTCTTGTATTTGACAGATGAAATTTATCATTGTCTAATTATCTTATATTAGGCAGTAATGGCAAAAGAATGTATTAAAGTAAAGGGGGATTAGGAGAAAAAGTAGAATATGCAGTATTACAAATCTAATTTGACAAATAGACTGGTTGGTGATGCTTTCTTTGTGATCGTATCAAAATTGGCCCTAGTAGGGAGGATAAAACTTCTGATGAAGGTTGTAGATTGAACTGAGAAAGGAGATACATTAGGACTAGACAGAGGGATAAGAGAGTAACTATGACAGGAATGAGATGGTATCGATTGAACAAGTGAACTATGAGAGTAAGTATGCTGAGTCCGTGGGGTAACAAA